CAGCATCGACCAACGATCACCTGGAGCCAGTATAGACGAGTTAGTGGGTAATAAACAGGTAAGCACCTTGTCAACATGCACGTCAAGCGCAGCCACACCGGGGATGTCAAGCGACAGACAATCATTTGAAACGACAATAGCAAATAAACTAAATCGAATAATACGTACAGATACGGCGGCAAAACTCTAAATTAAATGGTCGTAAAAAAATGATAACCAACGAATCCGCAATAACTTAAAGAGTTCAGTAAACATATTTTAAGGAAATGCCACAACAGCGAAAATGTTACCGAAATTGACTACAATGAGATTAAGCAGCGTGTGCAAGTGTATAGAACATAGTACAGGCGGAAAATAATATTAGAAAGAAAATCATTAGGACAAAATTGTAAACCGACCACTTGAAATAAAGTGACTTAGCCTGCAACCACGCGGTTAGGAAATCGAATGCAGCGAAGCTACAAACGCTGCACCGGTTGTGTCTACGTTCTCCGCAGGACCCGTCGTCTCTTCGGTGGTGGTCCTGATTGGCCCGGCTCATGGCTCACTAAGCCTGCCTGACTCAGGCACTCACGACCGCATGTGCTACAGCACCATGCGCTCGATGTCGATGGAGTACAACCGATCGGTGCTTGCCGCTTCCGCATTTGCTGCTTCTACTCTGATTGTAGGAGATCTTTCTCCCACACCTCAGCAACTGCCATCGTGATAAGATCGCAGCATGCTCGCCGATCAACCGCCTTCGTTTCACAAGAACTGCAATCAAGATTAGGACATGAGAGACTCACTTTGATCAGGTCCTGGTAACGTAACTTTAGATTCCCCACATGCCGCTTCCCAATACTCAGCTTATCATATAACAATTGTTTCAATATCCACGTCGAATCCATGCGGCTCACATGACCGAGCCACCTCAAGTGTCTCAGCAAAAGTATGCAGTATACTGCATATATTCCACCTCGACGCAACACTTCCGTGTCCACAAGTTTGTCGCACCAAGGGATGCGCAAAATCCGCCAACAACACTGTTGATGGAACCGCTCGAGATATTGCACATCCCGACGGTACATCGTCCACATTTCTCTGCCATATAGGAGAACGGACAGCACCAAGTATTTGTACACCATCCGCTACGTGCCAATGGTAAGCTGATGGTTGTTCCACACTCGGTACTCTAGCTTCCCGAATGCCGCTGCTGCCTTCGACAGGCGGATACGCAGCTCACTGTGTAGGTTCTGATCAGACGACATCACACTCCCAATGTAGAAGAAGCGGGAGGTGGTTTCCAATATTTCAGCACCAATGCTGATTCGAAGCAATATTGAAGATTGCAACTCAGGTGAAGGCAGCAAGATACAGACAGTTTTGTTTGTGTTGATGGTGAGCCAGAATTTGGTCGCTGTCGAAGCCAGAGCATTAGTCATGTGCTGCAACTCATCCGCCATGTGTAAAAACAACGCACAGTTGTCAGCAAACAGCAGCAAACGGATAGTTGTCTCACAGACTAGGGTTCTCCCACCGAAACGACCGATGTTCAGCAGCCCATCATCAACACGGTGCTCCACACGAATAACTTAAGCACAAAGAACATCCACAGGTCCAGACAGCATTTCATGACGATATATATATATATAATCAAGGCAGGAGCAAAGGACACAGATTTGCTTCACACCAGCATTATGAGGTCTCTCCAGTCCGCTGCACACGAGCCCGCATACCAATGTGCAAACATACAAGTAAACATAAAAGACTACGCGGGCAATCAAACTTACCCAACATCAGCCACAATGCCTCGCGGTTCACCTTACCAAATACTTTGGTGAAATCAACAAAAAGCTAGCACACAGGCTGTTGTCGATCTCTGCACCTCTCCTGCAGCTGACGAGTCGTAACACCGTATTGATAACGTTGCGACCCGAACGGAATCCACATTGCCCTTCCGCAATGTTAGGTTCCACAACCTGACTGACGAGGCGGTTGAACAGGATTCGGGCAATCACCTTGCCCACACAACTCAGCAAGTTGATGCCACGATAATTCGTGCAACAATGCTTGCTCCCTTTGCCCTTGTACAGTGGTAGCAAAAGTGCATCCTTCAGCTCAGGAGGCACCTCCTCCTCAATCCATATGCGTTGCACCATGTGGTGCAGCGCAGTCACCAACGCGGGTCCACCGTGTTTCAGTACTCCATGCGGAATCCCGTCGGCACAGGCACACATGCTGTTTCGCAGCTGAACAAGTGCTGTCTGCGTCTCATCCAGTGTCGACATGTTCGCCAGACACGCCTTCACATCACACTGCTTCAGGCCGTTCAGTTTATTCCAGTCGACCAGCGAACGGTTGGTCAAGAGACAGTAAAGGTGATTTCGCCAGATCTGCATTATTTCTGCAGCCTTTGCGAAGGTAGCGCCTGAACTACCATCGATCAGCGTCCTCAGCGGCGCCAATCTCGGTCCATACAGCGCCTTTAAGGAGTCAAAGAATTCCTTGTGTTGGCGGCGTACGCCGTATGTAGCATTCCATCTGCTTCGCCTTCTCCGTCCACCGTGCATTACTAATGCGACCGAGCTCTCGCGTCAGTCGCCGTTGATGTTTGCGAAACTGACTCTTCTTCCCCAATTCACTGGGGTATGCCGCATTTGTAGCGAATGCTGCATTCTTCTCCGACACCAATGCGACAATCGTCGCATTGTTCTCATCAAACAAATCAGGCCTCTTACAGTTTGTGCTCCCGGTAGACTTCTCGGCAGCAGCTGGTGTCTGTTCGCGAATGTGGTGCCACAGGTCGCCCACTGTGGTTATGCGGTCCACATCAGACAGGCGTGCAGCCATCTGCTTCTCTAGCTCATTACGTTTCCCCACATTATTGAGGGAGGAATGTAAAATTTACGCCGATCCACGACGGGAGGGCAATACATAGATTTACGAAAATGTATATACGGTTTGCTGCGCACCATTTTATGATCAGTGCCACACTCAGGATTACACAAACACATGTCATGCTCACTTCATGCATATCACGCTTACGCACGACGACAAAGTCGAGCAGGTCAGCGTGACCACTCTGTTGGTGCGTTCAAGTTGCTATCTCACTCGCACTCAGTGCAAACCGAGTGTTTGTGAGCCTCACGCCGTGAGTGGCACAGTGTGAGAGCAGCTAGTTATCGTTCGCATTCGCTGAACCAATGCCTTGCGAACCGAAAACATCTGTCCACACCTATGCATCATTCCCAACGCGTGTTGAAAGCACCCAGCAGAAATAGTCTCTCGCTCCTCGGCACAGACCGTATCACGGAGGATAGCTGAGTGTAGAATTGATCACGCGAGTCATCAGAATAAAACATCGTCTGACGGTATGTGCTTATAAGTGTGGCGAACTCACATCTTCGCAGTCGTAGGCGAACAGTCTTCAGTCGCGCGCTGGTGCCTGTTAGTTCACCCACGAGCTGGCTATGGAGGCGATCGCATATTGCAAATACGACTCCATGATCATGTGGTGCCGAGGCGGCGTTGCCCACCCAGTGGCATGTGTATCCAGCACCTGCTTTATGCCACTTACCTTGCTCAGCGAGCCGGGTTTCACTGAGCGTCGCAATATGGATGCGGTAACGCGCCAGTTCCACGGAAACCAGTGCAATGCGTTGCTCGGGGCGCTCACTCGAGTTCCGGTGCAGTAGTGTGCGCAAGTCCCAGCACCCGATGATGAGTGCTTTACGCACAGACATACGATTGCGTTGGTGAGCAATAGCACGCGAGATAATCGTTGTGCTTTGGAGGTTCGCTTGAGGGACTCCGCCCGGAGATCTATGGCTCAATATATCGACTAACAGGGTTGTGGTTGATTTGGACGTTTGCTTAAGGGACTTCACGCTGAGACTTTGGCTCAATATCCGGACTCACCATTCAGTGGGAGCAGATCCATCTCGGGAATGTGATTGCAGGGAAATACTGGGATCTGCTTGACGGCCGTCACACGCAGTCTTTGAGTTACTGGAACAATTCCTATATGTTTTGCGACCGTATTAGCATACACCTGCGACCACGGCCCGACGCAGGTGGGTTTTGTCGGGTTTACACCAATTTGATCAGGGGCTGCCTGGCTTGAGATGGGCAGTAGCAAACCATTGAACACCCGGAGGTGCCCTCCCACCGTCAGAGACAATGCGTGGCGTTCGTGCTCTACGTCACCTGAGCGGTGAGCTTATAACCCGTTGACCTGTTGTCTCCCATGGCTAGTTTTTACGGAAAGCATGCCATCAATCACTTCCTAACCTCCGAAGTGGGTGGCCTAGGATACTGACAGGACGCACATACTTGACAGGAGGAGGACTCTGCTCCTCAGCCAAAGCCTTCGATTAAATTTACACCCGAAAGACAACGGGTCTAGCATATGGTCAGTTCACTGACTCATGCGGATTGGTGTCCTGGATCTTAGCAGGGAGAGTGGGGTCACCTAGCTTCCGCCCATCGGTCGCCACGAGGTGAAGCACAGGACATGAGTCAATGGTACAAGCGTAGAAGCAGTGGGTAGACCATCTGTCAGGACCTAGCCACCATCAGCCTAAGCGAACCATAGCCTCTCCCGCCACACGACTGCATGCGCACACACTTACATAACCCCCTATAAAATCATTCACTGCTATGGCAGACATATCAGATTTTTGCACATGCTTGATCACGCATTGTTATGTTAAATCGATCATGCCTGTAAAGATGTGCATCGCCTTGTCCAGAATAAAATCTTTATTTATTTTTAAATCTTTGTATATGGCGCGTGATGAGAGGACTTGGGTGTGCGTGTTCCTGGGAATATTGATAACATCACTTTAACTCTGTCTGCCCGCCTTCTATAAAAAGTTATGATATGTGAGAGACGTTATGCTAGTTAATGAGTTAATGTGCTAGCTACAGATTTGTAAAACCAGCAGCACTAACGCTCAATTAATACACGCAGTGCTTTAGTTACATTTTGTATTTTCTCCTTCCCGTTCTCACCACAGTGTCAGTTCCAAAACTTGGAAGTAAGTCACACGTTTCGTAGTTCACTACAACTTCCACTGCTTGGTTTGTTATGTCGTATGAGTGTCTTTTATCAAATAGTGCTGTTCCCAAATGTACACTAATCGGATCCACTGCATATTGTCTATCAAATGAACGCACCAGAAAACCGAAATTTGCAAGCTGTCGCACGTATAGCACGCATTAACATCAAGTGTGAGCTGGCCGTTTGTTCGAACTAATAATGATACACTCATAACGCCAGAATACATATGATTAAATATTGCAAGGATGAACATCGGGTGATTGAGAAGCAACTAAAATGTTGCTGGCCTTCCTAATATTGCAACCCACATAAGTGACTGCAGTTGAATGCAACAATAAGGACGGAATGGCTCTTGACTCAGGCCCAATTTTATAGCCAACCTATGAGTAGGGGTACTTGAAGTAAACTGGATACCGTTTGTCGTAATCAGCTTCGAGCTAGTTAGGCGTCCGTACATCCGAAGAATCGTCTGAAGATCAATTCGCCTTACTGGGACTCGTCAGTAACACGCTTTCCTCTGCTCAACCAAGAACCGAACACGCGATCTCTAGAACCAACTGGCAAGTACATCTATTGTCTTTGCTCCGTATCCATGCAATTAACACAGGCGGTATCGCGTAGTTCATATGTGTTAATGCTTCGTCGATATTTCCAATATCAGTATTATGCGGGAAGAAATACCAAAGTTGAGAAAGGCACTTAAATAGACAGGAGAAGTTGTGGTGGCATTTTATCCGGTAATATCATGTGGCTAAATTTAGCCAATGGTCTTTTGTTGTAGTCTTATAGTTAGTTTTCAGGAAACACCTGTACTATTGTTTGGTTTGCCCATTGGCGGATACGTCATTATCATATCACTGCGCAGGCGCTAATACCGTCTTTTGCAAATCCCGAGCGATTTTAGCCCATAAATAAGAGAGATAGGACAACCCCTTTCATCTTTAACTGCATTTGTTGTGGAGACTCGAGCACTGTAAGATCATGCTTTACAATAGCTGCCAGAAAAAGATGGCTTATGCTGCATGTTATCTAATGTGGCCACCTGCATCCATCAGAAAATGGAAGTGTCAACCTACCTGATGCACAGCGCAATATAAATGGTATTGATAGGTTTTACTCACTAATTTGTGTCTGACACAAACAACCAAAACCGTCTTGCACGAGGACCGTTAAATTGCGTAAAACAGAGGCCTGGGGCACGATTCGACCTCTCAAACTACACAGTGAGTGCACTGAACATGTGTGCTCAGTGCCCAAGACGATTTGAAGTGAGACAGCTACTGATTTGTCCAAACGTAGCCCTTATCCAGATCCTTCTGCAGTGGCATTTGATTGCTCTTTATCTCCAAAGCCCGTCATGTCTTGAGCTCATCGAGGAATAGTAAGACATTTGTAACGAACGCCCTCGATAGATCGTTTTTGTAATCAGCAACATAAATGGATGCACTATTGAAGCCGGTGGCACTCTTAACTGAACTGCAAATGGGTTGGATTTGCGCCATGAACTCACATTAGAAATTCCTTGAAGTACACTGTTGCTGGTCCAAGGTTGAGCCGGATCACCGATTCCACAGGTCTGTTCACTCACACTGTTCACTCTAGGAAGGAGTGGCGTTGTACCTAGTCCAATGAACGCTGCGCGCAGTGTGCCGGTACTGAACAACGATTGAGCAATCGAGCAATGTTTTATGACGGGTAAAACAGCGAATTCGTGATAATTCCCGTATGATGGTTAGAGTGAAACTTACAAGATAGAAAACGATGCAGTTAAAGGAACGCATGAGGCACTTGACTCACCAAAGGGGTTACATTAGCAAATGCGTGACTAGTCCTGCTTGGAGTTTAAGAGAATCATGTACCGACCAGTGTTCTTTCTGTACTAGTGCCATCATGTGGTGAGTATGGGCTTTATCACATGTTATAATAGGGATAAAAACACTAAGGCTTGACAGGTCCAGTGGGATGGCATTTGCGGCTTAGGCAAGTTCAAAAATGTTACAATAATGTGTAACGCGCGTCTGTGACTCATCATATCTACACGTCAACACAGATGTATATGCTTTTACCCCGATCTCGTGGGGGTTGGTGAGCGCAATGTCTGTCTGCGTCTTGTCGTCACTCAATCAGCGTAGCCTAAACCAAATAATGCCTCGGATGTAACACATCGTCAAGTCGTTTGTAAAAATAGGTAGCGTTGGTGCTGAAATTACAAGTCGAAACAGCGTTTCATCGCTGGCAAATTCGAAGGGAATATCAATTCCGGCGGTATTCCAGCCGACTGTATTAGGTGGCCACTTTCAGCTTGTGACCTCTCAGTTTTTAGCTGCGCTTAAGCTTCAGGAGGCGGACGTATCGTGACCGATAATTTTCCAGATCTTGTACACCAGAATGAGGTCACCCCGTAGACGACGATAATTTCCGCTGTACCCTCCCAGGTCTTTCAGTCGTATATGGTATGACAGGTGGATTAACCCGTTCAAATTTTTGGGTGTCCTTCGCTGTGTGATCGCCAGTAAGAGCAGGTTTCCTTATAAACAGGGTTGTCAGGCCTGAATCACGTACTCTAACTGGGGCGTCAGATACGCATTGCGTATTTGAAGGAAGACGGTGAGGTCGAATCGCCCGAACGCCCTCCGTAATAGACCAACGTGTCGGTTCGCATTTTGGACGCCCTCAAGGACTGCCCTGGACTGCCGTGTTCATCTTGAATCACCACCATAAGGTCGCGCTCCTGTGACACAGGATTCAAAGTGTAGTCTCAAAACTTAAATGCCTTATTACGGTCGCGTCTTTCATGTGCAGTTTTGCACTTGTTTGCGTTGAACAGAAGTAGATTCCCCTCTGACCTTTCAAAGTATAAGCTAAGTCTCGTTGCAGCAGATTTGATTTTCCTGACTACCGATCACTTGCCATAGAGTGCTGCCATAGGAAAAAGCAGGAAATTCGCTTCAACGGTACTCACAGGGCCGTTAAGGAAAATTAAGAATAAAAGCGACTTCAACATTGACTCCTGTGGAACACCGCTGTCCACATCAATATAATCAGAAAATGTGCTCTGAACGCTAACCCGAAGCCGGAGCTGAAGAACGAAATTTCCGATCCATCCAAGGACATGGTTCCCAATTCCGTACGTTTTCATCTTTTGGAGAAGGATACAATCATCTAACCCGTCGAAGACTTTAGAAAATTCGAGGTTGATGACATGAGTGCCGGTTTCACTATCGACTGTTTCGGTCCAACTGCCCCGGGCAATAAATAGATTGGTAGTACATGACGGGTGCTTACGGAATCCGTGTTGCTCCTTTTCTCTGATCTTTCCAAATAGCCTATTAGTGCATCACCTATGATCGACTTCATCACCTTTGAGAGCACCAGGAGGAGGATCATTGGGCGACAGTTAGTGGGTTCCGAACTGTTAACCCCCTTGAAAATCGGTCTACTGGTAGACTGCTTCCACACGACAGGAACCTGCTCTTCATCCAGGAATCTTGGAAGAGCCGGGTTAATGCTGCGGCTCTCCTGGTAGCTGCCAACTGCAGTGCTTCCGGGACAATGTTGTCAACTCCGGGGAACAATGGGTGCGCAACGATAGCAGCCTCCTCGAAACGGTCGCTGAACTGAAAGTGCCGTGTTTAAATACAGTTGTCTGGGGAAATGTGACAGGTATATGACATATACTTGTGGCGCGTCTGAATATTAGAGCATATTGTAATCTTGGAACGTTGGCTGCATCCTCGGCGGTTTGGGCACATCCACCTGCTGATTTTAGTGGGGGAACATCAGGCTTCATATTCCAGAAACTGTTCACATGTTTGTACAGAAGGTTTTGTTAGCACAAAACCTTTTCACTTGACTCTGCTTGCGTACTTATTTGTCGTCACGGACAAGTATGGTACAGTGATTGCAATGCACAACGTATTTGCTCCAGTTGTCAAAGATAAGGTTCGTACTACACTCATGCTAGGCTGCTTCTCTTAACCTCGTGCGTTTTCGGGTTCTACTCGAATGAATGTTGGTGTTCCTGCAGAACCGAGGGGCCTGTCTTCTAATGCGGATGTAGCCAGATCACGGAACTTGCCGGCATACTGCATTCAGGCAGTATCAATGGAATAGTCGTCCGAAAACTCCCAGATGGCTTCTTCAACAAGTTCTATCAGTACGTGGCAGTGTGCGCTGGTTCGAAACAAGTTTGCATGCTCTTGCGAATATTCCACATAACACTCAGCTGTAAATTAGTGTTACATGATCACGCGGCCCCAGTGGGCTTCCCGTCATCGGCTTCTCGAGCATGAGCTCTTCGTTATCCAGCGCTCATTCAAGCACAGATGATTCGTTTCGCAATCTGAATTGGGTGGGCGAACTGAAATGGCTAAGGTGGGGGAGTTCTTGCAAGAAGCCCTTGCAGACTGACCTTGGATTGCTATCTGGGAGATGTCGGAACCTATAGATCGTGAACATTGAAATCACCTAAGATGAGAACATGGCTATATTATCGTCACAAGACCATCCCCAAGGCTAAAATCACGCGGGAATCTATCTCTGGGATGGATGTGATTGCTCCCATTCACTTTAGTTCATCTCATCTCCAAATAGCCGTCGCTTTCTGTGTACATTGTTCAGAGCGAGGTTAGTGAATACGACTATCACAATTGACCAAAAGTTCTATGTCGTCAATTGATGCATTATTGATTATTCTGCGCAAAGTGAGTCAACGTGATAAGTGTACGACAACACCTTTCATAATTGTTTTGTTTATTTTGAACTATTTTATCGCTTGTACAACTTTTCCATTGGTCTGCTGATTAAATTTACAGAGTGCATGCGCTACAATCATAGCGATAACTACTTGTAATCCGGCAAGGTTTTATGAAATGATACCCTACAGCTTCCTGACTTGTCTTCGTGTGTGATCAGTTGCGACACAAATTCATTCGTTCACTTCCATTCCCTTTTTAAACTGATATCAATGTTTAACGTATATACGAATAGTAAGATGCCGACAGCACTTGCTCAGAAAAAATAAACTTTCTGCGAGCAAATGAGAAAGAAATGCATCGCGATCACAATGTTTTGCAGGCGTACGGCCCCAGTTTTTAATTTAGGTATGTTACTAAATTCAGCTTCTTAGCCAGAACTGGTTGTTGTAAGTTTTCCGTGATATCCGTCAACTCAGCTAGTCTTCAACGCTTCCGGATAAACACCAGACGTGCACTTGTTTCTATTTGGTCTCGTCAGTAATCCGCATCCTTCACCTCTACCAGAAAACGAAACAATGACCTTCAGACTACAGCTGTTTATTCCACTAATCTATGGGTGACGACTCCACACCATCACGACTGAAAAGCCAACTACGATATGGTGCAGCTCATTTTCCACTGTCATATAAGTTATGAATCTATCAGAGGACAGAACTGACCCATAGAAACAGGACTTTCTGTATAACAACCATACACAGGAATGTGCTCCACTGGCAAGTCCCATCAGACGGAACACCTTTTTAGTGCTTTTCAGACGCGTGGGAGACGGTCCGACCCGAAAACGACTTTGTAATTTAAGTTACATCAACTACCCCCTACTCATAATTCATGCAACTGCCTAATTAAATTTGTCCTGTATATTACAGTGGTGATACTTGAAGGTACTGTGTTTGCGAACAAGAAACAAGCAGTGTTCTCCACCGACCAAGCTAAACTCGGAACGGCCGCTTACGAAGCTATGAACAAAAGTTTGTGCGAAAACGTGAGTTACAAAATGAGAAGAGTACAAGATGTTCCATCTTTTTAGCACTGTGTTGAGTGCTCCACTTTGATGCAGTGCGCCTATGTACTTTTGGAAATGTTGGAACAGCGCATACCTGTAGGCATGGTGTCACGTGCTACATATGGAGGCCAGAGGAGCTAGTATTGAGCAGCCCAGCAGAGTGCCCCGCTGTAACGCAATTCGTTTCTTGTTTCCATGCATTTGGATGCAACCGTGGGAGATCATACCATGAACTGGATGAATAATCAGCGGAAGACTATAAGCACATGTGAAACTAATCTAAAGCTGAGCTCTAATTACTGTTAGGGAATCATAAACTCAGAACTCTTTCGGATAGCAATAGTGCAAGAAAAAATTGTAATCCTACGTGAACGTGCCATACAAACTCGTGTGAATCACTAGTGTTTAGGTTTTCTGATGAACAATTTAACCACTAAACAGTAATTTAGCGTTAGGTCATGTAAGGAAAAGTAACGGTTGTAACTAAGATAAGAAATACCCTTTCCTAAATATGCTAGAACAAGCCTGCTTGCTCATCTGATGGTGGCTATCGTTTGGCATTTTTGTCGCAAATAATGACAAGGTTCTTCCAGCGTATAACGGCTCCCACTGCAAGTTAGTCGTTCAACACATCGACACATATGCTTCTATTTACCTTAGGGAATGGTGAGAAACAATATGATTTAGTCGGTCCTCATGAGATGAGCACAACCTATCTCGCATTCCTCCTAGTTGTAATTCATAGAATGTGACTGGTCATGAATGTTGAAATTCAACAACACGCTTATCCGGTTAGCAGGTTATGACAATTCTGCCATCTTGTTGATGCCATAGAGGCATCATTTATCTTTGTCGTTCAAAGAGAACTGTTCTATAGATTGATATTACCTTTGAACCTTGTGCATCGGACCGCATTGATGACTTGTCGGTAATTGCAAGAGTACGTGATTGTCTTAAACTTGTCTAAACTGAAGTAGACTAGGCGCAATCAAATTCGGAGAAAATCTCCTACATTCTACCCAAATGAAAACGGAAGTCGACCCAAATGCGGCAAATATATTTCACTTCACAAGTCAAATCTGAACATGGAGAGGAAACAAATGTGAACCACTTATCGGTCTACGTGAAGCAGCCTTTTAATTTAAATTTATAACGGCGACTTGTGTTTCTTGCAGCTTACTGGTAGTTCGATGTTTGCTCATCTTTCTAATGTTTAAACAGTTTATCACCGATCAAAAACGCACCGTCAATATTCTTAGCACAAATATGTTTGAAAGGTCAAAGAAATCCTTTTGAGAGGAGGCGAAGTTCGACATTGTAACAAATATGCAATACTCCGTGTAACGCTGGCCATAGCTTTTGCGTCGCTCCGTGGTATTTTGAGGTGACTAACGTTGGAATGAGCAGCTTCCGGTTCACTAGTGGACAACACGTGAATGCTTGCTTTCGTGTGATTCATGAGTGCTTCCAAAGTACTTGTCAGGTTTATCAGTGCGTTTACTGACACCATGCAATAGGTATACTTTTACATGAGAAACGGGGTGCTGGGATCCTGATGTCGCTAAACAGAGGAAGCGCTTCCATCATGAAACAGGTTACATCTCAAGCACTGGCATGTGTACATCGAATACATATAGTTCCATCCATTTCGCTTAAGTGACAGATAACTTAGCTCCACACCGTTTCTCAGTTAATTGAATCCATAACACTTTCAAACACAGCCTTAAGGAAATAGGTTCCCTCCAGACATCTTTCAGAATCCTACCTAAGGCAATCAAATATCATCTACCTGGCGGGAATGCACCAAAGCGCGCCCCTCGTTGGGTGATGAATCCCAATTCAACCAATAGCAAATCGAATTAGTTTACGATATGGTTATCAGAGAAGCTTTGGGTGTGGTGCAGATCGCGTGCAATTTGGTTAGGAAGTGTTCGATGGCCCCCTTCCCATAAAACCTAACCATAGGAGACAACAGGTCTACGGGTTAAAACCTCACACCTCGATTGACGTACAGCATAAGTGCTACGCATTTTCTCTGACGGTAACAGGGCACCTCCGGGTGTTCAATGGTTTGCTACCGCTCGCCTCAAGCCAGGGAGCCCCTTGTCAAATTGGTACAAACCCGCCAAAACCCACCTGCGTCTGGCCGTGGTCGCAGTTGTATCCTAATACGGTCGTAAAACATATAGGAATCGTTCCAGTACCTTAAAGGCCGCGTGGGACGGTTGTAAAGCAGATCCCAGTCTATCTCTGCAATCACATTCCCAAATGGATCTGCCCCCCACTGGATTGTGACTCTTAATATTGAACCAAAAGCTCCGGGCTGAGTCTCTCAAGCAAACATCAAAACAACATACTGCCATGTAAATCAGGCTATTAAACCAAAGGCTCCGGGCGGAGTCCCTCAAGCAAAGTTCCAAACCACCCACTGCCTTGTAGGTCAGGCTTTTGAACCAAATGCTCCAGGCGGAGTCCCTCAAGCAAACCTCCGAAGCACAACGACCGCCTCGTGTGCCATTGCCACCAATACAATCGTATGCCTGCGCGCAATGCACTCAGCACGTGGAACGTGTGCGCACTAATGGACCGCAACTCGAGTGTGCGCACCCAGCGACGCACTGCACTGGTTTCCGTGGAACTGGCGCGTTACCGCATCCATATTGCGACGCTCAGTGAAACCCGGCTCGCTGAGCAAGGTAAGTGGCATAAAGCAGGTGCTGGATACACATGCCACTGGGTGGGCAACGCCGCCTCGGCACCACATGATCATGGAGTCGTATTTGCAATATGCGATCGCCTCCATAGCCAGCTCGTGGGTGAACTAACAGGCACCAGCGCGCGACTGAAGACTGTTCGCCTACGACTGCGAAGATGTGAGTTCGCCACACTTATAAGCACATACCGTCAGACGATGTTTTATTCTGATGACTCGCGTGATCAATTCTACACTCAGCTATCCTCCGTGATACGGTCTGTGCCGAGGAGCGAGAGACTATTTCTGCTGGGTGCTTTCAACACGCGTTGGGAATGATGCATAGGTGTGGACAGATGTTTTCGGTTCGCAAGGCATTGGTTCAGCGAATGCGAACGATAACTAGCTGCTCTCACACTGTGCCACTCACGGCGTGAGGCTCACAAACACTCGGTTTGCACTGAGTGCGAGTGAGATAGCAACTTGAACGCACCAACAGAGTGGTCACGCTGACCTGCTCGACTTTGTCGTCGTGCGTAAGCGTGATATGCATGAAGTGAGCATGACATGTGTTTGTGTAATCCTGAGTGTGGCACTGATCATAAAATGGTGCGCAGCAAACCGTATATACATTTTCGTAAATCTATGTATTGCCCTCCCGTCGTGGATCGGCGTAAATTTTACATTCCTCCCTCAATAATGTGGGGAAACGTAATGAGCTAGAGAAGCAGATGGCTGCACGCCTGTCTGATGTGGACTGCATAACCACAGTGGGCGACCTGTGGCACCACATTCGCGAACAGACACCAGCTGCTGCCGAGAAGTCTACCGGGAGCACAAACTGTAAGAGACCTGATTTGTTTGATGAGAACACTGCGACGATTGTCGCATTGGTGTCGGAGAAGAATGCAGCATTCGCTACAAATGCGGCATACCCCAGTGAATTGGGGAAGAAGAGTCAGTTTCGCAAACATCAACGGCGACTGACGCGAGAGCTCGGTCGCATTAGTAATGCACGGTGGACGGAGAAGGCGAAGCAGATGGAATGCTACATACGGCGTACGCCGCCAACACAAGGAATTCTTTGACTCCTTAAAGGCGCTGTATGGACCGAGATTGGCGCCGCTGAGGACGCTGATCGATGGTAGTTCAGGCGCTACCTTCGCAAAGGCTGCAGATTTAATGCAGATCTGGCGAAATCACCTTTACTGTCTCTTGACCAACCGTTCGCTGGTCGACTGGCATAAACTGAACGGCCTGAAGCAGTGTGATGTGAAGGCGTGTCTGGCGAACATGCCGACACTGGATGAGACGCAGACAGCACTTGTTCAGCTGCGAAACAGCATGTGTGCCTGTGCCGACGGGATTCCGCATGGAGTACTGAAACACGGTGGACCCGCGTTGGTGACTGCGCTGCACCACATGGTGCAACCCATATGGATTGAGGAGGAGGTGCCTCCTGAGCTGAAGGATGCCCTTTTGCTACCACTGTACAAGGGCAAAGGTAGCAAGCAATGTTGCACGAATTATCGTGCAACCAAGACATTTACCAAGACATGCTGTCATCCCGAGCGGACATATCCTCAGTACACTGGTCTGTGGAGGAAGATGCTCAGTTATTACTGCACGCAGCTCATTTAGGCGAATCTGTATCTTCCCTAGCGCAGCTTCTGCCACTTTTACAAACCAAACTCCCCTTCCGAACGATGACAGCAATAAGGAAACGGCTCCAATTTCTAAAATGGAAACGCCCTCCAGGACGCCGCCTTCATCGCCACCAACCTCAACAGTCTTTAACACCCACGACGGGTGCAACCGATAATATTACTGAGGACACAATCAGTAACCACAGTCCGGAACAAAACACACCGAACTTTCCTCTGATATCCCTAGCATCCAAAGAGACCGCGTCACCCACTCCAGCGAATCGATCACATCGCCCCTCTGCTCTTGTTGCGCCTTCCACCGGCTCAGCATCCTCTCGTACATCATCCAGCTTATCATCTGCCTCTGACAGCAAGAAAGAATTGGAAGTACTTTATACTTGGAAATATTTTACTCGTCGCCATCCGGCTATTTCGCACCTCCGCTGTCGTTTCGGATCGCCAAACAACCCTTTTATCACCAACGCCCCAGATTTTAACCCCTCCAATGACCAGAATGCCCTTTTATACACGCCCAACTCGATGCAACCCCCCTCACCCCAGCCGCAAATAGGTGCCTATGAACGGCCCGCGGCGCAGGCTCCCACCTGTTTCCCTTCATCTCTTGCCCTGCAGAGTCAGAGCAGTGGATTTGCTGGTTGCTCTTTCAACGAATCAAACGGACCGGC